GCTTCATGGACCTAAGGAGGGTGACTGCTTCCTCCAGGGACCGTCATAGATCCTGTCCTGTGACCTTCTCCAAATGGTCTTTCTGTCTCTGGGTCACAATTTTGTTCTCTGGGTGGAAGGAGCTGGAACTGACTGCAGATACTGCTCAGTTGTTTGTACTTCCACACTACTTGCTTTTGTTTTTCTAAGTCTCTAAGTCACCCCACCCCCACCCTTTAAAACTATTTATTTTTAAAACTCTTCTGTATGTGTATGTGTGTGTGTGTGTGTGTGTGTGTGTGTGTGTGTGTGTGTGTGTGTATGCATGTGCACACCATAGCATGTGTGTGGAGCTCTGAGAACAACTGTTTTTGATTTGTTTGTTTGTTTTGTGACAGGGTTTCTCTGTGTATCCCTGGCTGTCCTGGAACTCACTCTGTAGACTAGGCTGGCCTGGAACTCGGAGCTCCACCTGCCTCTGCCTCCTGAGACATGGGATTAAAGGCATGGGCCACCATCACCTGGCCTGAGAACCATTTTTGAGAGTCTTCCTTTTTCTGTTGTGCACTTAGGGTATTAGGCTAAGGGTGTAATGCTTGTGCGGTGAACACTTGTACCCACTGAGCCATCCCACGGGCCCAGTGGCCCCTGTTATTAGATGCCACTGAAATTATCCTCCATGAGGGGCCATCTCTTACCTGTTGTAGCCTGACCAGTTGAGGGCTTTGTGGAATCATTAATATGGCTGGTGTTTTGTCTCCCACTTCACTGTAGTCCCACAATGCTTGGCAAGTATTTGGTGAGTTTTTATTGAACGAATGACAGGACCCCTCCTCTCCACACTTCTGATACTCACCTGAGCATCCTCATGCTATGCATAGATGCCCAGTAAACTCTAGGAGCTGTTGGGTTAAGCAGCATAGAGCAGGCTAAGCTGAGACTCATATTTCCCATGAGCTCCAGCCCCGAGTCACCTCAGTGGTTCACGCCCAAATGAGCAATGTGTGAATGTATGAGAAACATCTGAAATACACAGAGACAGTAAAGATAGGATGCTTGCCAAACAAAGGATGATGTGATTTCTCTAACTCAGATTGAAAAGTCCAGACCACAAACCAGGAAATGAACATGGGAAAATTTCATTTGTTTAGATGTTGGTTTTAAAGGAAGCATGTTGAGCCGGGCGGTGGTGGTGCACACCTTTAATCCCAGCACTTGGGAGGCAGAGCCAGGTGGATCTCTGTGAGTTTGAGGCCAGCCTGGCCTACAGAGTGAGACCCAGGACTGGCACCAAAACTACACAGAGAAACCCTGTCTCAAAAACAAAACAAAACAACAAAAAAAAAGGAAGCATGCTGAGAAAACTCAATTTATAGTTACCAGTTTTGCATTTATAAAGTTGACATTACCTTTATTATATCTAATGTTTTATTAGGCACCATTGTATTGTTCTATGTGAGGTAAAGTTGATATAACTACTTTGTATTTATATCCATGCTTACTATCAAGTTCACAACTTCAGGCTCCAGAGTGGTTCGTGACATTTATTATAATTATGTTTCCACTGTGCAAGTGTCAGAGGAACTTTTTCTCATGATGAGGGGTACCCCAAGATTTGTATATCTCTGGGAATGTGCTTTCATGGGTGGGGCTCACAGAAATATCAGGTAGAACTGTTCCAAGACTTCTGCTAGGCCTTAGAAGTTCCTAGTTGCTTACAAATCTAAGTTATAGTTCTTTATTGAAAAAAATTCCAGGATCTTCCTTCCTGGGTTACTAAGTAGGACAGAGCTCCATCTCCAGTTGCCATAGTACACCTCATCTTTCCGCAGAGCTGCGCCTTTGATGATCTCCAGGGCGCATTCCTCCTTGGGAGCAGCTTGGACAGTGAATATACCAGAGGTTGCCTTCATGGCCGTTTCTGTAGGACCACAGGAAAGACTCGAGTTATCCAGGGTTAGGAGAGCTTGTGTGGTGGAAAATCCCAGACCCCTAGCTCTCAGGTACACTGTGCCTATGTCTGAGCCCCACAGGCCCTCTGGGGACCCTTGGACAACAGGATATGTCCAGTGTGGACAAAGGAAAACTGGCTAGCAGACGTCTGACTCCCTGGATTGGGGATCTGTGTGGCAGTGGAGGTGACAGTTTGGGGGTCCAAATGATCTTCTCTGGGTACTTTGGTTGGGGTGACACATTACCATAGGGTGATGCAGAATGAGGACTAAGTAGCTGATGTAAAATGTAGAAGGCAAAGGAGAACATGATGAGGCTGTGATCCGCTGCTTTACAGACGGGAAGAGTAGAACCAGGCTTTGGCTCCCTCCCAGCACTGACCACTGCCACAGAGAAGGAGCTGGCAGGAATTATGGTCTGTCTTCCTCCATGGTCACGTCCTTCAGTCATGCCTTCCCTCTCTTCATCTCCATGCTGTTTGACTTCCAGTTTTGTTCTGTAATCACTACTTAATTACCTTTTTTTTGACAAGATTTCATGTAGCCCAGGCTGGCCTGTAACTCAATATATAGTTGAGAATGACACTGAACTTCTGATCTTCCTGTATCTACCTCTTGAGTGCTGGGATTACAAGTGTGTCCCACCATACACAGTTTAGGTGGGGCTAGGAATCAAACCCAGGGCCATATGAGTACCAGGCAAGTACTCTAGCGACTGAGCTACAGCCCCAGAGCATCAATCACTCCTTAAACAAGATTTTCTCACAGTCCTAGATGTATGCTTTAGATAAACGTGTAAACACTGTACTCACTGTTCCCACACACCCCTCACCTTTCCTGATTGTCACATCATGCATAACCCTGTGTAATGGCCAGACATGATGCATCACAATGTTGCTGGCTTTTTTTTTTTTAAACTAGTGTCCCCTTTATAGTTGGATTATGTCCAGGAGCACACTCGATACTAATTTCTCCTATTTTTTCTTAGTCTGTGAAGGTTCTTTTCTTTTTCTTTTCTAGTCTTTCATGGCCTTGATTCTTTGAAGAGTACTAGTCATTGTTTCTAAGGACAGTTTCTCAGTTGGATGCTGGATCCTCTTAGTGTGCCACATTGAGGGGCTCATGAAACCACCGTCTCCTTACTGTTCAGTCTAGTGAGAAAAGTACATAGGTGTTTAGTATCTTTTACTGAATAACAGTGGTCATGGGGAGTTCATGTGGACATAAGGAGCTCAGAGTAGAATCTACTGAGTGTGGTATTCAGAACAGAAAGGAGGGTCAAAGCTGACTAGGCTCCACCAGTGACAGAAGTGCCTTGCTAAATGACAGGGCTGATGCTTCCAGCTGCAGTCTCTAGTGTATTGCCCCTGAGGAGGAGAGAGCCTCCGGGAGACAGAGCCCCTCTTTTTCTACACCGTAAAGCTGACAGACCAACTTAAGGCCATTCATTCCAGGGTCTTTTCCTTACCTGTATTTATGAGGCCAAGAACACAGAGAGTGATGGACACGTTGACTTTAGTCATTATGTGTTCTTTTCTAACGGTAGAAAAGAACCCGTCTAGAGCAAACTTGCTTGCAGAGTAGGGAGCCAACATCGGCTGGGCCATTTTCCCTAAATGACAGGTGGAAGAAGTTTGTTAATGAGGACCCAGTTTGGCCTCAGACAGAGCAGGGCTTGACTTGGAGGGGGCTGGCAACCCCTGGGGGGTCTCCTTACCCACTGAGTCTCAGTTTCTCACTATTCCCTGAATTACCCTATGGCATTATGTTTCTGAAGGAATATAAATTAAGTTTGTGGAAGTGTGGTGGTTTGGATGAGAATGCCCCCACCTCACCATAGCTCAGACCCCAGTTGGTGAAATGCTCGAAAGTGTTAGGAGGTGTGGCCTTGTTGGAGTAGATGCTACAGGGGGTGGGCTTTGAGGTTTCAAAAGCCCATACCAGGCCCATTGTTTTCCCCTCCCCCCCCTCTCTCCCTCTTGCTCTCACTCTGCCTCAGGACCAAGATGTAAAGCTTCAACTACTTCTCCAGCACCACACCTGCCTGCTCCCACCATGATGATAATGGACTAACCATCTGAAACTGTAAGCAAAGCTCCCAATTAAATGCTTTCTTTTAGAAGAGTTGCATTAGTCATGGTGTCTCTTCACAGCAATACAGCAGTGACTAAGACAGGGGCAATAGTGTACGGGGTGAGCTGCAAGACAGGTTTCATTGGAGAGAGATGCCAAGCAGTAGTTAAGAAGTGAGCTGGGCTTCAGTACAGCCGTGTGTTCTCACAGCTGCTCTCTCCAGCTCTGATCCTGGAGGGCCAGCTCAGTGACCTGTCTTCTCTCTGCACGAAGGGGATAAAACACTTGTGTTTGAGTTTTACACAAAACTGGAACTTGCATCACATCAGTCAAGACAGGTTCCAGTCTGCCGAGGGGTATGTGGACACAGACATAATGGGATGAGCTCTTCACACGCTCTATGGATAGATAGAACAGAAGTGAACTGAGACCGTATGTGCTTCTAAACACTGATAGAAAGACTATACTATCTTGGTCTGCTAGCTCTGGAAGCTGAGCCAGTTTAGGGTCCATTTCTGAGGACAGCTTCCCTCTTAAATGTATAACACTTTTCTTTCCCTTCTATCCTGAAAACTGTGATCAGTGCATTATAGACTCTCTAGATTTTGTCTCATTCCTCCAAAGAGGGTTAACTGTTCTGTTAAAGTAAGCAGTTAACTTGGTTGAAATATATCTGGCCACTTGGTATCTGCACCACTGTCAACAATCAAAAATCCAGAGAAAGTAATATACTACAGAGACCTAGGATTTTGTGATGTTTCTCCAAAGAATACTCATTTTTTTTTCTTCAAAAATGTTAACAATTACAGACTTCTGACAAAATGTAAAATGCAGCCATTGAGAGCACTAGCAGAGACTAACAGCAGACAGACAGTTTGCTGATCTTCCTGTCTCATAGACCTTCTAATAAACGCACGTTTCTCCTGGTCATGGTGTGGCTGCTGTTCTCTCAGTATGCCTCTGCCTTTTCTAAGGCAGTGGAACCCCAATTCCTATCTGGGCACACATTATCCAGAGTGAGGTGGATGCCTCACACTCCTCTCAGCCAGTTATTGAGTGGCTAAGCTCTGTACAGTGGTAGGTAAGCAGAGGCAGAAGGAAGTCTCTCAATCTTCCACTCTTTCTTCTTAGGTGTCTGAAGGTGGCTGTGATAGCCACGGTTCCTTGAACCCTGAGGTAGAAAGGTGCACACTGAAGATGACAGTGTGGAGACTCAGAGGAGACGCGGTGGCCTGGAGCAGCCTCGCCAGCTCTGCTCCACCGTCAGACAGCCCTGACTTACTTCTCATCTGCTTAGCCCACCATCAGACAGCCCTGACTTACTTCTCATCTGCTTAGCCCACTGTTGTTTTTAACTTTCAACACCTGAGAGCTGGGCCCAAACCTTGTTATAGATAGACCATGTGAGAGAAGAAACCTGGCATCCCTGTGGCTCCATCCCTTGGCTCAGGTCTGCTACAGGAATGGGCATGTGACCCAGTTTGGACCTATGAGACAAGGAAATTTTTGTTGAGTGTCTCAGAAAGTTCTTTTCCCTCCTGGGGGTTTCCTGAGAGTAGCAGTCCTTTTTCTCTCCTGGTGGGCACTTGGTGCATTTATACGGGGCTAGAACTACTGCAGCTAGCTCATTGTCAGCTGAGTGGGAAACCACTCGGGGAGGGTGGGGACAGCTTGAACTGGATCAGCTGTGAAGCCTGCCCTACATCAGAACTCCAATTCTGTCAATAATTTCCATTAATGTTTAAGCCAAAAAGAGATCCAAAATATTTATAGGAATAGTATATGATTAAAATATGAGCTTTAGAGACAGGCGGCATGGGTATAAACCCCAAGCATGGCACTTCTTAGCTAAAATTTGTGGATAATGCCATTATCAAGCTGGAATAACCACATAATATGCTTAGCACAGACTGACTCCGAGAAGGCATTCAGAGAATGCTGTTGTTGTCAACAGAATTAGTATTCAAATCAGCAAGAAATGTATGAGCTATTCAAAAAGTCATGTTGGGACAAATAGCTAATTACTCAGGGGAGTGGAAAAATGCCACTCTAATAAATTAATTCAATCCACACTAGAAAATATGTGGAAAGTAAGATAAGACAGTAAGAGGAGGATGAGTTTACCATTTCAAGAAACACTTAATCCAGGAAAACAGGTGCACTTGGGGAAAGGAAGGGTGGGTGGATGGAATGCAAAACTTGAAAAGCTGCTTGGTGCTGGAGACACTCATCTTGCCCTTTTGTACATCTTTCAAAGACACCCCTCTTCTAGCCTTAGAGGGCTGTCCAGTCACAGATGTGTGCACACCAGCTTGAACACATGCCATGGCCTCTTTCAAGAAACTGCCACTCGGGAGGCAGAGGCAGGCGGATCTCTGTGAGTTCGAGGCCAGCCTGGGCTACCAAGTGAGCTCCAGGAGAGGCGCAAAGCTACACAGAGAAACCCTGTCTCGAAAAACCAAAAAAAAAAAAAAAAAAAAAAAAAAAAAAAAAAAAAAAAGAAACTGCAATATACGACAGAAGGATTCTAGTTACTGCCATTTGGTTTTGAGCTAGAAGGTTATATAAGGCTAGGACTGAGAGATCCACTTCTAGGCATCATAAAGGGTAAGTCAGCAAAGATCACTCTTTCAGAGGGCAGAGATGTGGAGCAGAGGAACACAGAAGCTGAGCTTACATAGGTGCTAACTTTCTTTAAAGCTTGTATATCTCACTCTAAAGTTCAAAGGCTGAATAATTGTTCAAAGTTGAAGGATTGGTGAAAAAACCAAGATTCAGATCTGTTTCTAGTGGCTCACTCGTACACTTGTTTCCTCTCCAGTTGCCTCTATTTTCCTCCTTCTCCTCCTTCCCCTTCCCCTCCTCCTCCTCCTCCTCCTCCTCCTCATTATTATTATTATTGGTCATTGCTGGGCCCCCTGTTCTTTATATTCACATTCTCCAGGAATCATGTGTCAATCCAGTTCCAACCCCCCTGTGTAGGTGAAGTTTTCTTTGGTCTGATGTTCAAGCCCCAAATAGACAAGCTTCTTGACTACCAGTATTCTTTTTACTTTCAGACTGACAGGTGAAGGTGTCCACAGACAGGTTTATCACTCTTAGCCCTTTAGATTTGTATCCCAGGGCACCATAACAAATCAGTTACCACAATCATGATATGATCACAGTATAATCCAGTGGTTCTCAACCTTCCTAATGCTTTGACCTTTTAATACAGTTCCTCATGTTTTGGCGATTCCCTCCCAATCATAAAATTATTTTGTTGCTACTTCATAACTGTAATTTTGCTACTGTTATAAATCGTAACAGAAATATCTGATATGCTATCTCTATGAAAGGGTCACTCAACACCCTCAAGGGGGCGTGACCCACAACAGGTTGAGAACTGCTGGTATCATCCCTCCTCCTACAGCTCAGTGGGCCAAAGTCTAGGTGTGGTCCAGCCCCTCACATAGATGCTGTTGTTGGTGCTCCCGACTTGTAGATACCCTGATCCCATTCTGCTGTCTTCACATGCTTCCCTGTGTACCTCCTCTTGCTCTGCCTCTTTTACATTTCTACAAGTACTCTTGTTATTGGAGTTTGGCTCACTGAGAGAATCTGAGATGATTTCATCTGGATATCTGAGTTATGTCTTTGAGAGTCCTTGCTCAGGTAAGGTCCTGCTCATGGGTTTCAGGGGGACATTTCTTCTGGGGACATACTCTTGTCACCCACTACACCTTCCTTAGTGTAATGAGGATACACACTGTGGCATCTGATGTTTATTCTTGGATGGTAACAACTGAGCTATAGAAACAAGAAGCCATGTAGAGCTGTTTTTGTTTTGTTCATGATACTCCATCTCATGCACCATCTTTTAACAAGCTGTAGGTTATACTCACAGTACAAAGTTGCATCCCACATGAGGAGAAAAGGAGGGAGGTGAGAAAAAGAGGGGGAAGGGAGAAAGGATAATGGAGGGAAGGAGTCAGAAGAGGCCTGAGTTTTCCTGAAGGAGTCACAGCACCACATATGGTATCTTATTTTCTTTTTCTGTTGCTGAGATGAAACTGACAAAAGCTACCTGAGGAGAAGGGGCGTGTTCTGGCTCACAACACACTAGGAAGCGACGGGAACTCGAGGGAGCTGGTCACATTGCATCCGTAGTCAAGAACCACACACACACACACACACACACACACACACACACACACACACACACACACGCTGGTGCTCAGCTGGGTTTTCATTCTGAGCAGTTCAGAGCACACTGCTAGGGAGTCTTCCTACCCACAATTCATATCAGTATGATCATTCCCACACAGACTTGCTCATCTCCCGGGTAATTCTAGATTCCATCAAGATAACAATTAACATTGACCATCATGTGCGGTTTATAGCGTGCCTTTAAATGTTAAAAAAAAATACAAAATTATTAAGCAAGGGTCAAGATGAGGTGAAAACTGCGGAACATTTATTAGCCATTATGACAAAATGAGGTTCCCCTGTGCTGTGGCCACTGTGGCTGCACCTGTCACTGACATCTACTATCACCAC